GAACATTTGTTAAAAGTTTATATTTGTCTATTAATTTGTACAGAAATAATTTGTACAGAAAGATACTGATACAGAAATAACCATGATTTTTGTTTTAAAAGGGCTCATAGCCTATTTAAAAGCCTATTTAAAGGCTCCAAGCAAACAAATACAATATAACAGGATCTAACAAAGAAATCCACAAAGTACTTATAACAAAAGAAACAATTACCTCTGTTCTAGGAAAATTGGAGACTGGACAGAAGTGTCAAATTTAACATGTCACCAATCATTGAGGACTGTCACAAGTAAGTAAGAGATATTTCATAACAACAGGTTGGACTAGTGTCAGTTTGTTCCACAATCACTTGGCAGCTCAATACTCAGATTTCCTTTTATTCTGAAAAGTTTCTGGAGACATGCGACTTGGCACCATTCTTCAGCCAGACTCTATGTCCCACATCTGACTCATGACACTTCAACTTGACCTGCATATTTTGGCTCTCTTGTTTGCTTCAGGAAATGGGGAGAGACAGAGAGTAAGGGGCTTACTGGAATTAAATCCCTGGTCAGAAATCCCAGTAAGATAAAAGGCTAACTGTAGGAATCACCCTGTGCCAAAATGCATGCAAAAACTCCTGTCTAACTTACCTTTAAATCTTGCTAATAAGAAGTGTCAGAGAGGCAAATAAAATACTATTGTATGAAAGATGCCTTTAATATCTGGTAATTTCTATTGCTGAAATGGTTATTGTTACATTTAGTTGCTAAGATATATTAGATGTTTTATTTGAATGCTACACTAAAGTAAAAACTGTGTATAGTATTGGGTTTTGTATGTTAAATGAGGGAGTTACCAACAATCTCAGGATGCTGCATATTTAATAATAAATGTTTAAAAGGTTTTAAGGATGTCAAACAATGTATTTTCAATAAAAATGAGGGATACAATTCTGCCCTTTAATATTATAGATTATTGTTTATGTTTGCTGATTTGCGTCCCAAAATAGCCATCACTATCACTGCATATGTGATATCATGCTGTACTGAATATAAACTTAAATGTATATCCTGTGTGTATTTATGAAGCTTTCTTTGGATACAGTAAATTACTTTCAACTAAAATTTTCTGTATTTTATTATGTTGTATTTTGTCTAATAGATATAATAACATAGTTCTCAAATGTACATTAAAAAATTGTTTCCACATCTTTGGATATCATTTATTCAAAATTTAGAGCATATGTCTAGAAATAGTTGTCATTTATTTCAGTTTGCTAAGATATTAAAGTTGACAGGGAAGAAAATATAGATGATATAAAATTTGTGAAATTAATATGAATCAGAATAGTATCTTACCACATAAAATCATATACATTATCCTTATCTTTTAAAAAATTTTCTTTCTCTTAAAGTTATATTCTTTTCTCCTATTTGACATTAAAAAATGACATTTATTTTTATTTAAATGTTGTTTATCAAGATCCAGAAAATTCAGTGAAACTAATTAACTATAGATCCAAACCCACTTTGAACCATAATATATATGCTGAATTAATTTTTCAAACATTCATAATGATGAGCTTTACAATATTTTTTCCCTGGACTAGTTTTATACACCTGAAGGGTGAGTAGTTCATCAAGGATTTATGCTTTATGGCCAGGGTTTGAGAACTAACACTATCAGTAAATATGTGGAATTGGTAAATTCCTTAATAGTTCTGAGGCAAGTTTTCTTCAGATAAGCATAAATACTTTACTAGATTGTTGTTTGAAATGAGATTGAAAAGTAACTAAGTAAGCTATAAAACCTTAACAAATGTTTTTTGTACTATCACGGACTCCGGCCTAAACAAATAGATCGCATTTAGCTACCCAAGATAGCATTTTCCAAAATGGTCCTGTGACACTTCAAAAAAAAAAAATCAATAAAATTTATGGTTGTATAGGTTCAGAAAATATCACTTAAAAGAGTTATATATTACATCACATTACAGGCCCTAAGGTGAGCTGCAGTAAACTACTATTGTTTAATAGAGACTTTCTGAACTTACTTGATCTAGAAATCATTATTCATATAATACTTCTCATACTCATTTTAACTTAGGGAGCCAACAAACAAGAGGGAATTTAATTTTTTGAGGTTATTTTTCTTTTTTAAATTAAAATGATAGTTTATATCAATATATGAAACACCTAGATTTGTATAAAGCTTTGACTTTTAAATTTACATAAGTATAACGTAACAGACCCAAGAAACACACATATAGAATGTGCACTCAGCAACCTATTCTATACTAGAAGTTGTGGATATTTATTTATTGCAAAATGAGCAGAGTAAAGAGGAACTAATTATGAAAAAGCCTGCAGATGGGGTAAGCCATAGAGAATGCATTTGGAAAGTAGAGAAATGATCAGTCAAGTTGGATGGAAAGGTAATTTCAGTGTAATCAAATCATATATGATGATACTGAGAAGGTTAGTAAGTCTCCTGTGTGGGTGACAGCAAGCAAATTAATTCAAAGATGTGGAATCTCAGGTTGGGAATAACGAGAAGAAAGTTCAGACAGACTGAATAGAAATAGAATCTTAGGGGTTAGACAAGCTCAGAAAACTGATGTTTTTCGTGGAATTTAAATATGAAAACATCAATGCACATTTACTCAGCGAGTCACTAGTGCTCACAAGTTATCATAAGTTATCCTTTACTTTAAATACTAATTATTCCTGTCTAGACATTCACCGAATTATGTGTATGGTTTTAGCAGAGCTTGATAAATATTTTGAGTCTGGTCCTGTGCATGAAACAGAACGCCTTTGTGTCGTTTCCCAGCCAGCTAAGTGAGAGTGACATGAAAAACATGCCGGGGTGTTTTTAACAAGAGTTATCCCTGTACACTCAGCGTCCTGTAAACACTGAGCTTCCCCTTATGAATCCACCTGCTCTCTCCTCAAACCTTATTTCTAGGAATACTGCCAAGCTTTCTATTTTTGAATATGACAGTAGAATACCAAGGAGCAAATTTCATGTAACCTCATTTAACAAAATGCATCTTATACCAGGGTAAGACTTCAGAAAGATAATTACTGAAATATTCAAATACCTATATTTTAGCATATTTCAAGGAAATAAATCACTGACAAATCTTCGTGATATGATATAGTTTATTATTTTTATAATATACATAAATGTTGAGTTTTCAGGAAATTTGGATGAGGCTGTGGTAAGGTTTAAATTTGAATCATCGGGGAAGAAGGGTTTGTAAACAAAGTAGTATGAACAAGAAAAACAAAGAATAATTGTTTCATCTAAAATGAGATATTTTAACACATTAAAAACACATTCACACATTCACAACACTATTCATAAACCTAAATATGCTTTTTAAAATAACTTTTCTGGAAAAGCAGAATATGATAGAACCTGCATTTGGCACTCTATACTGGTTTGTGAATCCTGTTCCCATAAGTACTGGCAATAATAAAAATACACTTATATGGTATATTTCATAGTCTTTCATTTTTTTCCAATTTTAATGCATCTTCTGTCAATTATTTTGAATTAATTAGGTGAGACATCTTTTCAGTGTTTTCAACGCAAGTTGTACAAGGAATTCCATATGAATTTAAAGAGTTGCTGTAATAGCAAAAGTAGATGTGAAAGTCCACGTTGTTTTTAGTTAGTTATATTCTCCAGAAAGCTAAGCTGAATTCCTGCGTGAGCAGCCATTAGATAGCAAGGATCTATAGTTATTCTTGGCAAGCCCAATAGACATGGCAGGTCCAAACCTGTGAAATTAGCTTCTTTAATGACATTTCTAGAATCTAAAAAAAGTGAAACAGTTTTTGAACTGCTTTGACAATAATGGTGCTATTGAAGTAGTGTTTACATAGCCAGGGCCTGGTTCCATGGACCATAATAACCAATCTGTCCCCAAGATTTGGTCCTCAATATGAGCTGGAACAAGCCAGTGACTATGTTCTTGCCACATTGCAGAGTGCCAATATATTTATTTACCACTTTTTTCCATAAATGATTTAAAGTAGCTTACAAATCTCAAATAGTGAGTCAAGATGAAGGGAGAATATGGGTAGAACATCAAAGTTGGTGCGACAAATGCACACAAACATGCATGTTGGAGAATCCTACACAGTGGCTAGAGGCGGACCTCAGTTTCGGTTTTAAGTTGCCTAATAGCAAGTGAGTGAAAGAAAGGGGGATAACGAGACAAAGAGAGAGACACTTACACAATGAGAGAGAGAGAAGAGAAAGAATAAAATATGCTGAATTATTTAATCAGAGTTTCCATAAAAATTAAAATCAGACAGTTATTCAGAATGTAGGGATATTTTTCTGAGACCTGAACTGGATGACATGAACTGTGGGTTAGCAGACAATGTCCTCGGCAGCGTCCTAAATTATAGGAAATACTGAATTTTATATAATGCTCATAGCATTTCTCAATGAGGCCATTGGTTAATGAGGAAGGCAATTCTGCAACAGTTTAAGTAGACACTTAACTTGATTTCAGTCAGCATACTGCATAGAAACTGACTTCCTTGAAGTCTCATTTTATTTTCTTGAAGTCTCTTTTCTTAGAATGAAAGTCTAAGAGATTATTTATGCAATTGGCTATTCCTTCAATACATGGTGAAGCAGAATCTATTCTTAAAATACAATTAGTATGAAAAAAATATTGAAAATAGTGAATGTCAGTATGCATTCGTTATCCCTGGAAGTAGTATAAAGCATGTAGTATAAACTATGACTTATGTTAATTGATTTATTTTAATTAACTTATATTTCTCACAGTGGCTTTTAATCTAATTTTTATTGTTTTATCTGCATTTCAGAATTTAATGAAGAACTGAGAAATGTTAAAGGTGCCTTCCAAATGATGATACTCCATGTTCATTTTCAGCTGTACTTTACAGAGACCCTTTTCTGATGCTCAAACTGCAGCATTTGGTGTATTTCCCGCATTAAGCAGTGTCTCATCGGTTTCCATCTGTGGAATGGAAGGAAATGTGGCTTCTGAGGTATTTCTCTTTAATCACCTGAAAGCTTTTAAAAGATGATTAATTACGTAGCACACAGATCTATAATCTTTAGCAGATAAAAATGGTAAGAGCCAGTCCTCCTGCTGTTGTTCATTTCACACGGATTACTTCAAAATAAATCTAGCTTTCCTTGGTGTTTGAATAATTATTTTCAAAGTCTTGGCTTGCCTTAAGTCATTTTTATCTACATAATAACTGCTAAGAACAAATCTTTCTGATATCTCCAAATAACATTTCTTCATAATCTGGATCAAACTAACTGCTAAAAGAATAAAATTAAGTAAATATCCTTGGCACCAGATGATGTCAAAGGGTTTGAAAAATGTGCTTTCTGGTAATTCTTGGGATTCAGAGATTTAGAAATGAATACCCCCAGGAAGAGAGTGTACTAGAGATACTGCAATCACTGCCCTGCCTGCATGTGCTGATGAGACATGAGCCTTTGCAGCAGTATTACCTCCTGTGACCCTGCGCCTCCTTTTCTTTTCACAGCTGATTGGTCCAGTGGTGAACACTTGACCCAAGCATCACCAGTTTAATAAATTGGATAATGACATTTTACCTCTAATTTATGACCTGTGGATTGACAGGAAGTATAGATGAACAATCTTATTTAGTGGCTAGGTATCTGTACTGTGAAACATAATGAGACTTTTGTTAGAGCAAAGAGAGATCTGAAACAAAACAGTTATGAGAGAGACAAAGAAGGACTGAAGGAAGCTAAAGTGAAATACAAGCCAAATTATAAGGCAGCCAATAATTCAACTTACCAGGTAAATGTGGTCAATAGAATCATAGCTATGTGGAGAAAGAGAGATGACATGAGAAACAGGAAAAGATTATATTGCTCATGGAGGCAGATTAATAAAATTTTCCCTTATGAATACATTGGTTCTTTATTATTTCATAGTTCTAGTTGCTTATACAGGCATATTCTTACTATAAATCGTTAGTTACTTGAAGTTACTGGAGAAGATCTCTATGTTTTGGAACCCAAAGACCAGGCAATAGATATACAGGAATAAAGGAACAAGACCCCAAAGCATATACTGACTACAGAAATTCAGATGGGTAAGAAAAATGTAAAAAATGGCATAAGTAGTTAGTAGGAAAAATATATAGGGAGTTCCAACAATGAGAAATAGGTGATCATGGAGATTATAGTATAGGTTATACCTAGAATTGGCAGTCTTGAACATTTACTAATTCCAGCCACTGTGGTGATACTGGATTCCTAGGATTGCAATGTCTTGCACGAGAAGTGGTAAAAGCAAGGTTGGATCCTTACATAGATTGTAGGAACAATACTCATAACGGCAAACAGAGCAATAACTTATGGCTGGGGTCTGGGACACATAGAAGAGAGTTAAACTTCAAAATCCAGACTTGGTGGCTGCTGAGGTGGGCAGATTACTTGAGGTCAGGAGTTCAAGACCAGCCTGGCCAATATGGTGAAATCTCTACTAAAAATATAAAAATTAGTGGGGTGTGGTGGCATGCCTCCCTGTAATCTCAGCTACTAGGGAGGCTGAAGCAGGAGAATAGCTTGAACTAGGGAATCAGAGATTGCAGTGAGTCAAGATTGCACCACTGCACTACAGCCTGGCCAACAGAGCAAGACCCAGTCTCAAAAAAGAAAAAGAAAAAGAAAAAAAATTATCTAATGTTTTAATATTGATAGGATATTATATCAGGATTCTCATGCCAATAATAAGGATTTTGGAAAATATTTAATGGTGTGCTTTAATTTTTTTTTAGTATGTAGAATTAAAGCTGAATTGAGAGTATGATCTGAAATACCAAACTATGTTATTGATTCTATTATTAATATTTTGACACGAGACATACTTTTTGTCACTCTGAAGTATTCATATATTTTATAATGCAATGGATATATTGTTATTTAAAGATTTTATAAAATGTATTTATTTAGTTATAACTTCCTTTTTCCTCTTTCAGTGTACTTCTTTAGGTTTCATAATGTTTCAAGATGTGACATAGACTTTGTATGAAATAATGAATACTGCTATGAAAATTTAAACTACAACTTGTTTAAATTTTCAAGTTATGAAATGGTCATTCTGATATGATTGCATAACTTATAAAATATAAAGCTTGTATTCTTTTATTACTAGAATTATATTATCAATTTAATCGTATGAAACAAGAGGTCTTTGTATATTGTTGTAATTACTAAACCTACAATTTTCTGTTTCTTTTTTATCTATGGAAAAAATCACTAGCATTATATTACAGAATTTTCTTTATTTGGACTTACTAGGTCAATTTAGAATATAGTTAGAAATATAAATTGGCATTTTTGATATTTTAATCTTATTTTATTGTGTGATAAACATAAAATACACTTAAAATTATCTTTTGTGTAACATAATTTGTAACACTTAACTAAACCTTATTATATATTCTCCTTTGCTCTAGACATATTTAAATATCAATGATTCTTCATTATAAATTGATAATTTAATTTTATTCAATTAATTGCATTTTATCCTTAATATTAAATTGTTATTTCCAAATGCTTCTTTTACATGTATTTTTGAGAGAACAAAAATGCATTTTCAAAATGTGAAGCAGAGACCCTATTGCGACCATCCTATATACATTAGATTTTCACGTTACTCAAGATTTAGATAGATAGGCTGGTTGCTTTAAAATTGATTGACTCACTGAACAGATTATTTTGGAACTGAATACATAGTATTGGGAGCCTACTGAATTTCAACAGCAGCAAGATGTTTCACATTATCTCAATAGTATTTTGTACATCAAAGCATGCAATATTAAAATGAGTTCACTACATTCACCTTGGAATAATGTGGAGCTGCAGGAAGCTATGAGGTTGCATACAATGTATACAATTTTATTGGGAGAGAAATGTTTTCAAATCAAAACAAGGTTAAAAGACTGCATTATTTATTAAGCCCTGAAACCATTATCTGTCCCTTGAGGAGCAAGGGGCCTGTTTCTGAAGCACTGCCAGCATTAAGTACTTAATTTTTGAAATGCTACTTTTTATACACAGGCAAAAAAACCCCACATACACATAGATATAAACACTTACACAGACACATTTTAAAAAGTCATTTTATATGAATGCATTGAGTGTTGTTAGACCATGCAGAAACATAAGAAACTATTGAATTGCTGAAAAACAATGATGGACTGACTCTCTGAAATACACACATACATATACAAATGTACACACACACACACACACACACACACACCGGCATTTTCCTTTGAATACATTACTGTGAATATCTCCAAGCATGTCCTTTCTTTAATGTTAGTGAGATTTGGGCACTTAAAGAGAAAGCTCCAGGATTATGAGAAACACCTATGTATTTGATTTCATGTAATGATATAATTTAATATATGAATATTTGCTATACTCTCTAAAGATTAGTTTATCAGTACTTTATTTAAAGAATACAAAATAATCATAGTAGGAATAAGCATATGCACTCAAAATATCCTCTGATCATTTGAAAAGTCTAAATGCTAAGTATGCAAGAAAATGTGGAGTAATTTACTACTTTATTTTAAGAGAATAAGAAAATATCAAGAATAAATATTAACTTTTATATTTCTCAAAATAAAGATTAGTTTATGTTTTCCTTTGGTGAGCTAAAGAGGTCTTCAATATAACCAACTGTAATGATGTGGTTAGAATATGAATTGTGAGTTCAGATATGAAGCAATAACTGTGGGAGATTACTTGGTATAAAATCTCTCATCCAAAGATACAAATATGTAGGGGAAAAGTGTTTTAAAAACAGAAAACTTCACTTCAGGTGCCTGCTATTGGAAATGTCATGTAATAAAGTAGTTGGCATTGATCTATGTTTTCATAAATCCTGTGGTTTTCTGCAGGCTTATTAGCAAAGTATACTTTATAAAGTTGCAGGTTCGAATGTCTTTCTAAGGGTGAGTACTTCTCACAATGAAGAAATAAGAGTGCCCTTGCTTTTTCAACAGTTGTTATAAATGACTCTCAGTGGTTTTGCAAAAGAAGGCAGAGCTAAGATAAAACTGACCTTAAGACACTTTGAGATCCTCTCTCCCACCACCTGTAAAATAGCAGCTTTAGTAATACTCCAGCACTCAGTTTTCAGGTTCATTATAAAAGTTAATGGAACAGCCAGATTTGAGCACAAATTGCAATTGCTAACTCCTTCACCGAGAATATATCATCACAACCCTTAGCAGGAATGACATGTAGTACAAAAGCACCACAGGGTCAAGGCTTAAACAGATTGCATTGCCAGTTCTACGATAACACAAAACCCTATTCCATCTCCTGTTTATTTCAACTTCGATAGTCTTTTGTTAGTCATTTTAACACAACTTATCTTTATTTGTTTTTGCAATACTTATATGTTAAGATTACTAGCAAGTATATACATTTGAGAACTTTAAAAGTGATTTTCCCTAAAATCAATGAAAAAGTTTTCTATTTCTTAATTGCCAATATACTAAAATCTAATTGTTTTATTTGTTTGCCTTTTGAATAAAATGGTCTTTTGTGACTGATTTAATGTCTCATAAAGAAGTTCATTTACCTTACATTTCATTTGTGTGAGCCTGTGCAGTCACGTGTATGTGTGTATGTGTAATACAAACAGGAGTGGCTAACTGCATGGGCTTTGAAATTTGACCTTGGCTAGTTGATGCGAGCTGCCTGCTTTCAATATCTGTGAAAAAGATAATAGTGTATAGTATCACTTTATTGAATTGTTGCAAGCAGTGTAATTTAACATTACAATCACCCTATGGACAGTAATCATTGCCGTAGTTTATATTAGGACAAAAGGAAAAGGATGCACACCTATGCACTTGATTTTAATGATAAATTATTTGTGTCATTTGATTTTGTATTCATGAGCAATTATAATTTGAAATATTAATTAAACAGACCCTGTAACATTGCCCAAGCATCTGTTGCAGAACTCCCCACTGGATTGGCCATTGGTTTTCCTACTTACTGTCTGCTTTGTCCAGGTTGTCAGATCTATCTGGCTGGAAACCTAAAGAGCCATTCTAATGTTGTCCCCACAGTTAAGTTCCCATTGCTAAACTTCCCTTCTGGTTGAAATCTTAGTTATATTGATGGGATCCCGCTCCGCTCCCAGTGCAAGTTTCTTCGCCTCCTTTCTTAGGGAAGAACAGCTCTGACCAGTGCTGAGTTTTCACGGGCAGTAGCAGGTCTGGCAGCGGACAGACTTGGATGAGTAGACTTTTATGGGGTGAGAGCAAGGAATGTGAATCACAAGTAAGAGAGATCTGAGGCTGTATCTCTGGGACTGGCTAAGTTTAGCAAATAAAAGACTATTGAAGAGTCAAGGCCAAAGAAAATGAACAATGTGCAAAGCCAAGATCCTCATAATGAAGACGGAAAGAGAGAAAGCATGCAGCTAGCTTAAACAGCATAGGCCTAGAAGGGTTCCCCAAAACAGTAAGCAATGGCTTGTAGGCTAAAGTCCTCTCCTTTATGAAGCCTGCTCTGGAATCCATGAGAGTTGTTGAGAGCCTGGGTCCCTTTGGAGAGCTAATATCTCCAGGCCTTCATCCAGAAGTTAAGCTCAATCAACCTTTGTGATCCCTGGATATAGGATCTCAGTGCTGACCACTTACCTCTCACACTCTCGCATTTGAAATTTCCCAGTGTGTGGATTCTATTAGCAGGACTTCAGAGGTCAATTTTCTGAGCTCTCTGCTTGAAAACTCACTTTTGATCACTACATGCCCATTTTGTTTCCAAGTCTGGATTTTTTTTTTTTTTTTTTTTCCGAGACAATCTTGCTGCGTCTCCCAGGCTGGAGTGCAGTGGCGCCATCTCAGCTCACTGCAAGTTCTGCCTCCCGGGTTCATGCCATTCTCCTTTCTCAGCCTCCCGAGTAGCTGGGATTACAGGCGCCCACCACCACACCCAAGCTAATTTTTTGTATTATTAGTAGAGACGGGATTTCACCATGTTAGCAAGGCTGGTCTCAATCTCCTGACCTCGTGATCTGCCCACTTCGACCTCCCAAAGTGCTGAGATTACAGGTGTGAGCCACCACTCCTGGCTAAAATATTAGATAATTCTGTTATCATCTTAGTTTTCTATTTTTGCTGCCATAAATATTATTTAATAGACATCCTTCAATGTATTTTCCCTATCTTTAATTTATTCCCATATTGATACATTAAAGTAGAATCATGAGATGAAATGGCATGACTTTTTAGGCTTTCAATTCAGACAGCCCAATTGCTTCTTAAAAAGTTGACAACCAAGCAGTAAATGAGAGCAGGCAAGTCATTTTATTCTCACCAACAGTGAGTATTACTATTAAAAGCAATTAAAATTTAAAAGGAAAACAGCCCATTATTGTTTACATTTATATTTATTTGTATATAAATGTTATTTTATTTTTCATGTGTTTGCTGTTTTTCTTTCTTTTGACCCATTTTAGTAGATGATCATTAATTAATTTATTTTTTAAGTTCTGAGGTACATGTGCAGAACGTGCAGTTTTGTTACATAGGTATACACGTGCCATGGTGGTTTGCTGCACCCATCAATCTGTCACCTACATTAGGTATTTCTCCTAATGCTTTCCCTCCCTTAGCCCCCGACCCCCCGACAGGACCCAATGTGTGATGTTGCCCTCCCTGTGTCCATGTGTTCTTACTGTTCAACACCCACTTGTGAGAAAGAACATGTGGTGTTTGATTTTCTGTTCTTGTGATAGTTTGCTGAGAATGATGGTTTCCAGCTTCATCCACGTCCCTGCAAAGGCCATGAACACATCTTTTTAATGGCTGCCTAGTATTCCATGGTGTATATGTGCCACATTTTCTTTATCCAGTCTGTCATTGATGGACATTTGGGTCGGTTCCAAGTCTTTGCTATTGTGAATAGTGCCACAAATAAACATACATGTGCAGATATCTTTATAGCAGAATAATTTATTATCCTAACAGAGTGAACAGGCAACCTACAGAATGAGAGAAAATTTTTGCAGTCTATCCATCTTACAAAGGGCTAACATCCAGAATCTACAAAGAGCTTAAACAAATTTACAGGAAAAGAACAAACAAGCTCATCAAAAAATGGGCAAAGCATATGAACAGACACTTCACAAAAGAAGGCATTTATGCAGCCAACAAACATGAAAAAATGCTCATCATCACTGGTCATTAGAGAATGCAAATTAAAACCACAATGAGATACCATCTCATATCATTTAGAGTGGTGATCATTAAAAAGTCAGGAAACAATAGATGCTGGAGAGGATGTGGAGAAATAGGAACAATTTTACACTGTTGGTGGGAGTGTAAATTAGTTCAACCATTGTGGAAGACAGTGTGGAGATTCCTTAAGGATCTAGAACTAGAACTAGAAATACCATTAGACCCAGCAATTCTGTTACTGGGTATACACCCAAAGATTAGTTTTTAATTAAAAATGATTTCATTTTATTTTTACTGACGAATTAAAAATTACATATATTTATTATGTACAACATGTTGTTTTCAAATATTTATACATGGTGAAATGGCTAAATAAAGCTATTAGTTATCATTTTTTTCTGGTGAGAACACCTAAAAGCTATTTTTTTTGCTGTATTAAATACCATATATTGTTCTTAACCATAGGTTCCATTTTGTACAACAGATCTTTTGAATGTATTACTCCTATCTAATTGAAATTGTGTATCCTTTGATTAACCTGTCCCCAACCCTCCATGACCCACTTAGGCCTTGGTAATTACCAATGTACTTCTACGAATTGAACTTCTTTATACTGCACACATAAGTGAGATCATGTGGTATTTGTCTTCCTGTTTCTGGCTTATTTCACTTAACATAACATCCTCCTAGTTCATCCATGTTGCTCCAAATGACAGAATTTCCATATTTTTAAAGGAAGAATGTATTTCATTGTGTATATTTATTCTTTCTTCTATTGATGGATACAGGTTGAGTCCATACTTCGGCTATTGTGAATAATGCAGCAATGACTATGAGAGGGTAGATATCTCTTCTACATATTGATGTCATTTCTTTTGGATTTATACCCAGTAGTGGAACTGAGGGATCACATGGTAGTTCTCTTTTTAATTTTTTGAAGAACATCCATACTGTTTTCTGTACTAACTTATATTGCCACTAACAGTATGGAAAGATTCAGTTTTTCTCTCTATTCTCTCTGACACTTATCCTTCATCTTATGGATAGTAGCTATTGTAACGAGGTGTGCTTAGATTCCATTGTGGTTTTAGTTTGCATTTCTCTGACGATTCAGGATCGTATGTGGTTTAATTTTAGATTTTAGATTTTTTTTTCTATTTTTGTGAATAATGTCATTGATATTTTTATAGAGATTGCATTGACTCACTAGATCACTGTGGGTAATACTGACGTTTTAACAATAATAATCTTTTTTATTGTTCTTTTAGTCTCAAATTCATTTATTTATTTTCTAATCTTTATTTTTTTCTTTCTACTAATTTGGAGTTTGGCTTATTGTTGCTTTTCTAGTTATTTGAGGTGAATCATTGAGATATTTATTTAAAATATTTCTATTTCTTTGGTGGAGATGCTCATTACTATATATTCCTCTCTTTCTACAGCTTTGCTGTATACCATAGATTTTAGTATGTTGCGTTTCTACTTTCATTTGTTTTAAGAAAATTTTATATTTTCTTCTTAATTTTTTCATTTATTCATTGATATTTCAAGAGCATGTTGTTTAATTTCCATGTGTTTTTATATTTTCTGAAGTTCCACTGGTTACTTATTTCTAGTTTTATTCCATTGTTGTCAGAAAAGAAAATGATATGATTGCAAATGTTTTAATTTGTTGAGATTTGTTTTATAGCCTAACTTATTGTCTATCCTGTAGAGTGTTCTATATGCTGATGAGAAGAATGTGTATTCTGCAGCAGTTGGATGAAGTGTTCTATAAATGTCAGTTAGGCTCATGTGGTCCAGGGTGTGGTTTAACTTCAATATTTCTTCACTGATGTGTACATTACTGACAGTGGAGTGTGCATTATTGACAGTGTACATTATTGACAGTGGATGATGTGTATATTATTGATGGTGGAGTGATGATGTCCCCTACTATTACTATTTTGCAGTTTATCTATCCTTTAGATCTATTAATGTTTGCTTTATGTATTTTGTGCTCTGGTATAGGTGAATATATATTTAAAATTGTTATATCCTCCTGCTAAATTAGCCCCTTTATTTTAATATTGTGGCTTTCTTTGTCTCTTTTTGCAGTCTTTGAATCGGAGTCTATTTCATCTAATATAAGTACGTATAATCCTGATTTTTTTGTTTTACATTAGCATGGAATATCTATTTTCCATCATATCATTTTCAGTCTATGTGTGTCTTTTATAAATGAAGTGAGTCTTAGTTTTATTTTTAATGTTTTTATTCATTCAGCTACTCTGTGCATTCTAATTGCATAGAGTAAATTTAACATTTACTGGATTAAATTTAACATTTAAGTGGATTAAATTTAATCCATTTACATTCAAAGTTATTATAAATAAGTAAAGACATTGTTTGCAATTTTGTTACTTGTTTTGTGGTTGTTTTTTAACTCCTCTTTTTCCTTCTTTATTTCTTACTGTCTTTCTCTGTGGTTAAGCAATTTTTCTTTGATAAGAGGTTTTAATTTGCTGCTTATTCGTTTTAATGTATCTATTATAGGTTTTTGCTTTGTGATTGCCATGAAGCTTACCCCCAAAAATCTTATAACAAGTTATTTTAAACACGTTACAATTTAATGTTAATCGAAAGAAAATAAACAAAGGAAAAACTGAAACACTCCATGCTTAAATTCCTTTCCCCCATTTTGCCTTTTTTGTCTCAATTTACATCTTTTTATATTTTTATCTCTTTACAGATTACTCTTGTTATTCTTTTTTTATAGATTTGTATTTTAGTCTTCATACTAGAGATACTCCACAATTGCAGTATTAAAGTATTCTAAATTTGCCTGTGTACTTATTTTTACCATTGAGTTTTATAACTTAGAATGTTTTCTTTTTGCACGTTAGTACCCTTTTCCTTCAAATTGAAGAACTTCCTGTAGCATTTCTTGTAAGACAGGTCTGGTAGTAATGAACTTCCTTAGTTTTTGTTTGGGAAACACTTTATCTCTCTTTTGTGTTTGAAGGAAAGCTTGACTGAGTACACTTTTTTGGTTGATAGTTCTTTCTCTTCAGCACTTTGAACATACTGTCTCACTCCCTTCTGCCCTGTGTGGTTTCTGCTGAGAAGTCTGTTGTCAAACAACTTGGAGTTCCTTTATATGTTATTTGCTTCTTTTCTCTTGTTTTTAGGATTCTTTCCGTCTTTTGACCTTTGAGAAGTTGATTATTATATGTCTTATTTGGGTTGAATCTGCTTGATAATCTTTATCTTTCTTGTACCTGACTTACTTTAGGTTTAGAAAGTTTTCTGTTATTATTTCTTTAAATAAACTTCTGACCTCTTGCTCTTTCTCAACTCCCTGTTGAATCCCAGTGGCACTTAGATTTGCTTTTGGGGATTATTCTTTGTATCTGATAGGTGTTTTTCTTTCCTTTCCATGATTTTTATTTTGTCCTTTTGTTGTGTATTTTCAAATAGGGCTCACGATTGGTTCGATCAGCTATGACATTTACAAGGCCCGCACGGAAGGCTGGTTTCCCCACCCTAATCTTATTATGCAAATGAGCTTTCCAGTTGATCAGCATCAGCCTGTCTGCTCTTTAACATATAAGTGTGTGACAAAAGAAGGGAAGATGGGGCCGCCATCTTGAACATGTCTAGCCCCTAGTTCCTGCTGGTATTCACCCAGCTTGCCTGTCTATCTCTGCAGCTTGACTTTACAGGCTGCTCTTTGTTAGAAAATGAGTTGGGACTGCTTTCATTAAAAAAAAACAAAACAAAAAAAACAAAAAAAAACCCACAAGCCTTGCTGAGGGCTCCTATGTCCTTGCTAACTGCCTAAGTAATTGCGTCTTAACTCCTATTACATTATTCTCCACACATATTTTATATCTTATTTAATCTCAACAATGTAGTTTTCAAGACACAGATTTTATGTGCATTTTCCATTGAACTTATTCCTAAGTATTTTATGTTTCTGTGTAAAGTCAATAATTATCCATATATATTCCCATATATAATGAATTATTTTGATCTAGCTTTTTTCAAAATTATTTTTATCTTTGGATAGCTATTTTTAAATACTGTCTTCCATTCTACCTACTACTATAAAGTGTGAAAACCCAAACAGTTGCTTTACTAGGCTCCCTTGAAGAATATCTGCTGAAATTCTTCTGGAAAAAAAGTTGATTTCTTGTTAAAAGAAATAGATACCAAGGAGAAATGGCTAGGGTTATGTTAGAAATTACAACCTCTTTTATACTCTTGAATATGTGAATAAGAATGTGATGCTTTAGATTTTGTATCTGTTTTAATTTGAGCTCTCCAAGAAATAGAAGTCAAAATTAGATACACAAGTGGCAGCAGATTGAGAATGAAGGAAAAGAGTGGAGTGGAGAGAAACTGCCAAACATGATGCAGATTTTACAGTTAAAAGGGAGAGAGAGAAGAAAAGAATGCATTAGGAGAACTCAGATCATAGTGAATTCCTGTGAATGTGTCAGTTAGGTCAATGGGGAATTAGAGCAAAAGTTTCCCATTAGAGGAAACAGGTCTTGGAATATTCCAAAACTAGTATACTCATTGTGCTCAGTCATTGCCCTGGGGGAGGCACAGGGAACCATGGCCTTGGTCTATATGCCAAAGTGAACCCCAAATGTTGGCAGTTCTGATTCTCACAAAATATTTTATTTTTATTTTTATTTTTTTCTTTTTTTGGAGACGGATTCTGGCTCTTGTTGCCCAGGCTGGAGTGCAATGGCTTGATCTCGGCTCACTGCAACCTCTGCCTCCTGGGCTCAAGCAATTCTCCTGCCTCAGCCTCCCAAGTAGCTGGGATTACAGGTGCACGCCACCAAGCCCAGCTAATTTTTTTTTTGTATTTTAGTAGAGATGCGGTTTCACTGTGTTGCCAAAACTGGTCTTGAACTCCTGAACTCAGGCAGTCCACCTGCCTCGGCCTCCCAAAGTGCTAGGATTACAGGCATGAGCCACTGTGTCCAGCCCAAAATATTTTTTTAAAGAAAGAAAAAGCTACACAGAATACTGTCATGGACACTAGAGTATTTTCTTTTTCAGGCTAATTTATGTTAGACAGCAACATTCTCAAAATATTTACAAACTAGGATGTTAGTTTATGAATTTACAGATAGATGTGTAAATCCACTCCTTGAACCACACAGATTCATTTCTTAACGGTTGTTTGAAAAACAGCTTTCTGTGGTTTCTATGTACCCCTTTTCCTGGGAGGAAACTTAGTTAACATTAACTAAACGTGTGGGCTAAACTGCAGTCGCCAATATCTACCTTAGCTCTCAGAACTACCATTGGTTGTCATCCTATTCATCTTCTACTACCCGATTTAAATTCTACTTATATTTACCACCTTGGCAGGTCTTGATACCTGTTGGGTATGCCTAAACCTTCTTTCCTGAGGGTCTAAACCTTTAGTGATATGGTCAAGAAGCCCCTGCTTCCTCTTCACCTTCTGCCATGATTGTAAGTTTCCTGAGGCCTCCCAAGACATGCAGAACTGGGAGTCAATTGAACTTCTTTTGCTTATAAATTACTCCCTCTTAGGTAGCATCTTCATAGCAAGGTGAGAACAGACTAATATACTTGGTAATCAAAACCTTCTCAGTCAAGAAATTACTGCTGGACCAGAGCTTGCCAAGAGGCTCCCAAGCATATAACATAGTATATTAGCTTTCCTGCATAACAAAATGCCACACAATTAGCAGCTTAAAACAACACACATGTGCTACCTCACAGTGCTCGTGCATCAGGGTTCTGGGCATGGCTCAACTGAATGTTTTGCTCAGAGTCTCATTTGGCTTCAATCAAGGTGTCAGCTATAGCTGTGCCTTTTAATTGAAAGGATCAAGAGGGGGAATGATTCACTTTAAAACTTACTCAGAATTTTAAGAGAATTTGGTTCCATGCTGTCATAGAACTGAGACCCTCAGCTCCTAGAAGGCACCCTACCCATAGGCAGTCACCACATGACTGCTTCTTTCAGGCCAGGAGACAAATATCTCCTTTAAGGTTTTCACCTAAATTAGGCCTTCCCCAGGATAATCTCTTTTTATTCATTGATAGTCAACTGATTAGAGGCTTTAATTACATCTGTAATATCCATTTCTGCTATATATGATATCACATCACATTCATAGAATTACACAGAGGAAGAGTCTCAGAAAAACGTTAGAATTCTGCCTGCCATACCTGGGTTTCACATATATCCCTCCCTGCCCCTTTGTGTAAAAGCAGTCTCCTGTATGCCGATTGGGGTCAAATACAAGAGTCAACATGGTGACTCCTTTTCTCCCTTGCTGGTTCCTAGACCCAAAATTCTAAAATGTACTTGCAGTAGCTGTATCCTGTGGTTCAATGGGATTTTTCTGTGTTCCTCGGTAAAACTTTTCAGATTTAAAGACCATGACCCCTAACCCTGTAAAGCCCAGATATGCAAGGATGAGAACAAATCCTCCCATGTGTAACTGAATATAATAAAAGAGGTCACTGCTGTTTCCAGCCATTTCTGGACCCATGTATTTTTTTTACTGTGAACTCATCACTATGTGCATATTTCTAATTTAATGTATATATTGAAACCTGAAAGATGTCACCTCATCCTTATAAAATATTTTCTCCCAGCTAGCATGCTGACTGCATATCCTGAAATATTTTATAAGGATGAGGAGACATCCTTCAGGTTGCAATATGTACACTAAATTAGAGGTCTTTCTAACTTAATGTACATAAAATTATATAGCCAACCTCACTTTCCTATTTTTCCTTTCCTATGTCATATTCCAGGACAGTGCAGGCATTTGCACTTCACTGTGTGTTGACTATAATTTTTCCATGCTTCTATGAGCAGCAACCCTAGCAGCTAAGTTTTTTTGCCAGGGTGTTAAATCTAATGTCTGAGAAAGTACCTCCAGTCAATGCATTTTGTTTACCCAGTCTTATGCTTTAACACTTCGATCAAGCACCTTCAAATTGCAGTCTTGGGATACTCTTGTGACTCTTATTAGAATATTCTTATGGCTGTTTCAGGATGTATGCTCTTTCCTGCCTTGTTAGATCCAGTAGGTCTCCAGCCAGGTTGTGCTGGGATTTAATCCTAGTTATTGACCTTGCCGTCA